CCAATGTACTGTATACTTGAAACTAATAAAATGAAATATTTTTAAAAAGGGGAAATAAGTAAATATGCATATATCACATTTTTGCAAAAGGAAACACAGGGAGGATGAACCAGAAAACAATGAAGTTAGTTGCTTATAAGATGTGCGTGTGTTGGGGGAGTGGGGTAGACAGCATGGAATAAATTGATGAAACATCCATGCAGAGTATATCTTTTTATGTAGTTTAATACTGAAAGGTCAGAGGAGACAGCTTTAAGGGGCTCCCACTGTCCAAATATGGGCCAACTGGAGCAGCAAAATTAAGACAATAAAGGATTACAACCCACTGAATAAAATAGGAATCCATGAGACCACACAATAATAAATAGGTAAGTATATCAATGGGGGGAAGGGAGGTTCTTTACAGCAGTGCTGACTGACATATATGGAAGGACTGGTAGGATTGGAAAATTGTCACTTTGCATCCATCACAGTAAATGATTTGGACATGAATCATTGATGCAAAATCTACAAGAGAGAAAGTGTGATAAGGAACAGGATATTTACACAGTCTTAAAGTATCTACCTATGGATCGTTTATTAGCTGCAAGGGGCAGAGTTATAACTCTACAGTAGAAAAACTGGACACTGCCTTGACTCATTGAGAAACTGTTCCAGGTGAAAGGGGACAACAAAATACCCTGCATGATTCTGGGCTGGAACCTTACTGAAGAAAAAAAAAAGACATTATTGGGACAATTGACAGAATTGAAATATGGACTATAATTACATAAAGTATTGTATACAATGTTACTTATACTGTAGTTACAACAGAGAATAATATCTCTTTTTAGGAAATACTGAAATATTAACAAGTAAAGCAGAATAATGTCTGCAACCTACTCTCAAATGGTTCAGATAAAATAAATAGTAATGTGTGTTTGAATACGGAATATGTATATACACATACATATATACACACACCTCAGAGTTGTTGCGAGTTCAGTTCCAGACCACCATAAGGAAGCAAATATAATAAAGCGAGTCACATGAATTTTTGGTTTCCCAGTACATATAAAAGTTATGTTCATACTATAGTGTATTAAGTGTGTGACAGCATTGTCTAAAAAAAAAAAAATGTTTGTACCTTAATTAAAAAATACTTAATTGCTAGAAAATGCTAACCATCATCTGAACCTTCAGTGAGTTGGAATCTTCTTGCTGTTGGAGGGTCTTACCTTCAATTTGTAAAACAACACACTACCTATGAAGTGTAATAAAGCAAAGCACCATAAAATGAGGTGTGTCTGTATATAACAGAGTAAATATAGATACACACATATATATCACATGTATAGGCACCCACATATGCATACATATACATATCTATAAAGAGAATTATAAACATGGCAAAGTTTAAAAGCCTGGCTGAGCCAGGACCATGTTTCCCAGAATTACCTTCCACCCATGGTTCCAGGTAAGAGTTGGCTCAGAGATCATTGTAAGAGATTTGGCACATGGAAGTAAACATGACTCTCAGAAGGCAGTCGGCATTAAATGCAGTGGAAGACAAACTCAGAGCTGTTAGCAGATTCCAGCTTGTTCCGTTCTCTGCTCTGTGGCTAACTATTCTTCCCGATTGATTGGTCTTACTGACCAACACTGCCCCCTTCCCAGGCTCATCACCAGACACTTGGCTTTGGGTATCTCAAAGGCAAAATCCTCCCCTCAACCTCTCCACCAGCTTGCCTTGGGCCTCAGTCTCCACTCTGGTGGCTGAATGGGCCTAGCTTCTCACACTGACTTGGTGACTCTAAGTATAAGGAGTAGACACTAACCTATTTCCTATGACAAGACCCCCTCCAAATGAAGCCCTGACAAAAGAGCCAGTGAATGAAGGCTTTTCAGCCTTCTGCTTGTTTCACCATTAGCCTGTTAGGAAGACAGAGGAATAAGGCAGAGACAAAAGGGAAGAAGGAGCAGTTCACTGGAAGCTGGATCCTGTCACTTAATTGCACTAAGGAGCCCAGACCAGACTAGAGACAGGGGGCATTTTATAGCTAGAGAAATTGAGGTACAACACACTTAAGTGACGTTTTGGTAGCTACTGGAAGATGCTGGAAACCACCAGCCTTCAGCCATTGTATCTACATGAGGGGAAAAAAAACAGCGTGTAAGAAGGCAGGAGATTAGAATCAGAACCACAGATGGCTTTAAAATTACTTTCAGCAGTAACTGAAAATAGTAGAACCAATATACCTGCCTATTTTATTCATCCAGCTTCTCTTGAGGCACTATGCTATTTATTCCCTTTGGTAGAATTTAAGAGCAAATATTCCAAGGAAATGAGCATAGGATGGAGGGGAAATTTTCATAAAATACACAAGTCTTAAATGTTCAGTTTTCACAGCCATAATTCAGAATCAGTCTTATGCTTTGTAAATGTTGGCCAGCATTCCAGGGCAACTTTAATGAAATACATTTCTGACTTTTGTTTTAAATCACAAGACAGAAAATCATTTAGAAAATAAAATGTTGCCATCATTAGAGTAACACTTGATCCAGGCAAGAATCATCAATGGATGCTAAATCTAGTAGGTTAAATATTGGATGAGGAAATGAATATTTACATAGCTTCAGCGTGCCTCCCAACAAATTACTTATTAAATGAAAAGGGGGAAATGCTGACTTTACAGTGGAGAAACCTGGTGAACACTACTTTAATATCCCTGGTAACCAGACACTAGGCCTCACAAGCCTCCTAATGTGATGCACTGCAGACAGAACATCACTCCTGTGGGGCTCCTGCCCAAAATGAACAGCCTGAAGGTAGGCAAGAGGAAACATCAAATGAACCCAAACTGAGGGACGTTCTATGAAATAGCTGACCTTTACTTTTCTAAAATGTCAAGGTCACAAATGCAAAAGAAAAAAAAAGGTGGATGGCTATCGTAGATCAAAGGAGACTAAAGAGACATCACAGTTAAAATGCAATGTGCGATCCTGGTCTGGATCCTGGACTAGAAAAACAAAATTGTTATACAGGACATTATTGGGCCAATTGGCAAAATTTGAATAAGGATTGTAGATTATGGTATTATATCAATGTTAAATGTCTTGATTTTGATGGGTATATTGTGGTAATGTAAAAGAAAATCCACGAATGTCCATATGCTTAGGAAATACACAAAATACACACTGAGGTTCTTGAGAAATACCCTTAGGGTAGAGAAAACAATTAAGCGAATGTGGCAAAATGTCAACAGCTGGTAAATCTGGTGAAGGATATATGGGAGTTCTTTTGACACTTCTTTATTCTTGTTTTAAACTATTTTCACTTGTGAGTTTGAAATTATTTCAAGATAAAAAGTTTAAAAAATAATTAAAATAAAAAGATGTGCTGTCTATGGTCCATTGCATTGGAACTCACCGAAGATGGTGTGGGTTCGGGGTCGTTAAGGTCAAGCTGGATTTCATGGGACCTGTGACTTGGAATCTTGGTTAAATGAAAGTATGTGTGTGTGGCGCATTTTCAGTAGACTGGGATCTACCTTTTAATTTGCTTGTCTTCTCCCATCCTTTCCCTTTGAAAGATGATGGTGAACTTGCTGACCATGTTCATCCTACTGTCTCTGGGTTGAGTCACACAGCTTTATGTTGGAGAGGCACGAAAGACAGTAGAAATGCCACTTCCAAAAATGGTAAAGAAATGTTAATTAAAATAATGATAAACCTTTAGCTGTTTAGTCTATTAAATTTTTTTTTGGGAAGGGTAGTCACAGTATAGCATTACAGATGTTCTCTAATCTCAAAATTGTTTTGTCACTATCTTTGCTTCAGCCAGGTAGAATTCTCCACAGAGTTGCTCATTTCTCGCCCTGTATCTTTCTCAAGTCTCCCTTCAAGTTCCATTAGCCTTTGTTTGGGCCATTCACTGCTACTGTAACAACCAGCAAATATCAGCCAGGCACAAAACTTATAGAAAGACTATATTTAGCCGGCACCTACCAGTCTGGAACCTACCAGGAAAGTCACTTATACATTTTCTGTACTTCCATTTCTCTACCTGTAAAATGCCCCTCTGAACAGACAGACCTTGTCTTGTTCAATATGGGCCACATCTAGTCAACACATTAGAAAGGCTTGTGGGGAGAAGGAATATTTCATTTAGTAATACTTTCCCTGGCCTAAGGGAACTTACAACATAATTAGAAGGACAGAAACACATCAGAGTGATTTGTGCAGAGAACTGATGTGAGAAATAGGAAAACTTAATCCTGGTCTACCATGAATTCACTGTGTCACCACGGCAAATAACATGATCTCTCAAGGCTTCATGCCTTATTTGTAAAATGAGGGGATTGGATTGGATGATGATAATGATAATAGCTGAAATTCACTGAGCACTTATTATATACCAGGCCCTTTACTCAATACTGACAAAGATTAACACATTGAAACCTCACCATACTGCTGGGAGGTAGGTACCACTATCATCCCTATTTGACAGATAATCCGTGAGACCCTTTCAACTCCAGTGTTCTATAATTATGTGATTTCAAATTAAATTCTATGGTAAACTGTATTTTCCAAAGGTGGCCACAATATTTCCCATCCCACATGCTCTTCTTAAAGTGTCACTTTGACATTCCTTTGAAAAGTGGGTCTATGCCCCCTCTCATTGAATTTAGGGAGACTTGTAACTGGAGGAAGTGATATGTGACTTCCAAGGCTAGATTATAAAAACCAACATAATTTATATCAGTTTTCTATTGCTGCACAACAGATTACCATAAACTTAGTGGTTTAAAACAGTACCCTTTTGTCTACAGTCATGCCACCCTGAACAAGCCCGATCCCGTCTGATCTGGAAGCTAAGCAGGGTTGGGCCTGGTTAGTACTTGGATGGGAGACCACCTAGGAAGACCAGGTGTTGTAGGCATAAAAAATAGAAAAAAAATAATAAGGGTTTGTAAGCTGACAAGGTCCTTGCAATCTGTGAGGTCAACCAAAGGTTGCCTTGCCTAAAAAATAAAATAAAAATAAAACAGTACCCATTTATTAGCTCACAGTATATAGGTCAGAATTCTGGCCGTAGCATGGCTGGATTATGTGATCAGGGTCTCATGAGGCCAAAATGAAGGTGCTGGCCAGACTGAGTTTTCAAAGGGACATTGGGGATCATCTTAGAATTCTGCCTACCATATAGTTGTTTCTCGTTTCACTTGTTCTTGGAGCTTAGCCACCATGCTGTGAGGAAGCATAAGCAGTTTGTGGAGAGGAACTAAGACGGCCAGCCAATAGTCCCAGCTGAACTCCCACCCAACAACCAGCATCAACTTGCCAGCTATGTTAAGTGAGCCATTTTGAAAGTGGATCTTCCAGGCTCAAGCTGACCTGCCCCAGCCGGCAATCCATGGAGCAGACTGAGCTGTCCCCATTGAACCCCACCCAAATCACAAATTTTGAGTAAAATAAAGGATTGTTGTTCTACACCGCTAAGTTTTGGGGTGATTTGTTATGCAGCAATAGGTCATTGAAACTCAGTAATAACCCAAGTGAGATGATCCACAAGTACTGAAAGCTTTTGTGGACAAGTAGTAGTAACTCACAATTCTTTTAGGACATTGGAGCATCTGGCAGTGTAGGCGTAAAATGTCATTCAATTCATGCTTGCTGATTTATTAACTCAGACTTATAATGAACTAATTTACACCAGTATACTAGTCATCCATATTTGGAAGCCCAGCATTTTAGGGTTATCTAAAAATTATGCTGCTTTCCTTTTCAGCAATGGCTATACTATGTATTTTTAAGCTATATTTGTGAAATATTTGGGATGTAACTGAACATAATGAATTTGTTAACTTTTAAAGGTTCAATAGGTTTATCTATAAATCACTACTTAAAATATTAATATTTCAATGTACACTTTAATTACTTTTCAACAATTATTTTTATTGGAAAAAGTAAAAAACATTAGGAAAGTAATCATCAGTTTCGTCATTAAGAATTTTCATCAACGGATATTAACTATTAGGTGAAAGACTGTTGGAGAATAGAATATCTGACATTCTTAAATAGGCTCCCCTGAATTATTTCTTGATTACAGAAGGAAAGGGTGCTTTTACAATGGAGAAATCTGGCAGACAACTCCTTAACCAAATGATCAAACTTAATATCACCAATGATGGAACAAAGTAACATCCTATGTCTGCCGCTGTGATGCATTAAGGAAACGATATCACCTACATGCTATTCCTGCCAAAAAATGTTCAACCTAAATCTAATTATGAGAAAATAGACAAACCCAAATTAAGGACATTCTGAAAACCCATTGACTTGTATTCTTCAAAAATATCTGTCACTAAAGACAAAAAACACTGAAAACTCTTCTGGATTAAGGGAAATTAATCTAAAAGAGATAACTAAATGTGAATCTTGATTGGATCCTGGATCTTACCCCCACCCCCACTCAAAAAAAGAAAAAAAGCCATAAAACTGTAAAACTTAAATATGTACTGCATATTAGATAACAGTACTGTACTAAATGTTAAGTATCTGAGTGGATTATTGTATTGTGGTTAAGTTAGGAGAATGTCTTTGTCAAGAGCCAGATGCTGGAATATGGAAGGCACAGTGAAATGTCACTGTGTTCACTGTGCCTTCAACACTCCAGCAAACTGTGTAAGGACTAAAATTCTTTATCTGGTTGAAGAATTTTGTATCAACATCTAGTCAACACTGTTGACAGACTGGACTGAAAAAGCAAAGCTTCCTTCTGCAGAGCTGAGGAGAAGCAGCCAGCCACGCTCACTTTCCTGGGTGGCACGTATAGCCCTGAAAACTTTAAAATGTCTGCAGCACAATGGGAGCAAAGGACGAGGCTGTGATTCCATCTTTGCTAGAGGGAGCACAGAGACTTGCACGCACGCACGCACGCACGCACGTTCTACACACTTCAGGTACGTGAAAAAAGGCACTAGAATGAGGCCACGCTCCGGCCCGTGCTGTCTGGCACACTTTACGGCAGTTACGCTTGGGCAGACGCCACATCCGGGTACACTGTGACTTCCGAGTTCCACGCTCCGTCTCATTGTGAGCTGGCTCTTCATCCGTTGGCACTCCCACGGCTTAGTGATCATGGCGGCCTTGGCGGTACTGTGGCAGAAGGCGAGGGACTACATGAAGACCAAGGAGTTCCGAGATTATATAACGAGCACACATTTTTGGGGTCCCGTGGCCAACTGGGGCCTACCGCTAGCCGCCTTTAGAGATATGAAGGCGTCGCCGGAAATCATCAGCGGCCGCATGACAACAGCGCTCATTTTCTACTCGATGGCCTTCATGCGCTTCGCTTACCGCGTACAGCCTCGAAACTTGGTGCTGATGGCGTGCCACGGCACCAACGTGATGGCGCAGAGTATACAGGCGAGCCGCTACCTAATGTACCACCATGGCAGCGGCGCTGCACAGGCCATTGCTGCCGCCACCATTGCCACCGCTAACACCAACGACGACGACGACGCTGCCGCTGCCGTCACCACCGACACCGACACCGCTGACACTGATTTTTACATCGACGCTACAGCCTGCGACGCCTAGGCTGCCAGCTTGGACTAGGTGGCCACCAGCCCTAATCCACAGTCCCCAAAACAATTTTCTTAATGACTTTCGAGTAAGCCCTGTTGAATCTCTGCAGTTTGCGAGCACTGTACTAGTAATTCTTCCTAAAGAAAAGACCAGTGAAAAGTTTGGGTTTTGACTCTAAAACAGTGAGACTCTCATTTAAACCTGCAGTTTGGTTAATAAAAAATAAAGTAGCATAGAACTAAAGCCGAGTGTTGTCGCCTCTTTCTTGACCTGGAAATGTTTTGAAGGTGAGGCCACATTGGTCGGTCTTCCTTCCTGTTCATGGGACCTGCAACTCAAGAGTTAGTTTTACATAGGAGAGGAAGACTGAAAAGACACTTTAAACTAATTCATTGCTGTTTTATTTTCCTAAAGTTCTCTTGGGGACATGTTTTTGTTATTTATTTTGGGGGTCATGGCCAAAAAAGGATGCTTAGCACACATTTTTAAAACTTGGTAGAATCATCAATCTCTTTACACCAAAAAAAGTCCCAGAGCTACTTGGAGATGAGTTTAAATGAAATCAGTGAAATCGTTTACTTTTAAAGAATGCTTATTAAGAGAACCTAGAATCTCTTGGTAACAGAGAGCAATTATAGAATATATGGAAACAGGATAAGCAACTCTGAGGTCAGTTGTGTCAACCCTGGACTCTAGGTAAATAGACAAATAGAAAATAAAAACAAAATCATAATCCTTTCCTCTTTTCCTCATGCCTGAAAATGAGGAAAGTGGTAGTTTGTAAAACTGGTTAACCTGTCACCCTGTGTTGAACACTAGCTACGGTTGGGAGTGAGGGTCAGTGATCAACTGTATTAGCCCAGAGTATCCTCCTACGAATCTCAGGAGCTATAGAGTTTCCTTAAACCTTGGAGTGGAGGGGGAGGGGGGCGAAGTGGACACGACACACAACAGAAGGGTGGGGCTGTGAACATGAGGCCATTCTGCAGCAGAGGCTACCCCCTGGGACTTGACCCAAAATCTCCCCCTCTGGAGGATGCAGGAAGTTCCAGAGTGATCTACTGGGAACCCCAATGTATGTGTTTAAGACTGCTTAAACCCTGCTTTTGTTAAAGTTTTCAAATACAAAGAAATTGAAAACAACTATCTGAAAGTTTCTGAAATTATCAGGCCTTGGAAAAGACAGACATATTAGGGGAACTCTGGAAGATTCCCTTTATCTTCTGTGGCATCAAAACAGAAGTCCTCTTTGTAGGCAGCTTCTGCATTTCGCATTCTACATACAGAGGGGAAAAAAACCAAATTCTGGAAAACTTGTGTATTAGTTATCTACTGCTGTGAAACAAATCACCCCGAAACTTAGCTTAAAACAACATATTTATTATCTCACAATTTCTGAGGGTCAGGAATTGAAGTGGTTTTGCTGGGCGCTGCTAGCTCAGGGTCTGTCAGCTATCCACTCAGGTTGCAGTCTCTGAAGACTTACCTGGAGCTAGAGAATCCAGTTCCAAACTTGCAGTTTGCAGGCATCTTCAGTTCCTTGTCATATGGGCCACAGGGCTGCTCACAAGATTCCCCCACAGCAGGTGTTCTAAGGGCAAAAGCCCAAGATGAAAGCCATAGTTTTTTATAGCTTAATCTGGAAAGTGACATACCGTCACCTCAGCTGTGTTCTATTGGTCACATGGAGCAATCCAGGTACACTATGGGAGGACAACACAAGGGTGTCCTGGAAATACCAGGAGGCAGGGATCATTGGGGGCCATTTTGTAGGCTGGCTACCACATGGCTCTAAAATAAAAATTCTCGTGCATTTCTGAAACTCAATATAAAGTAATAAAGCATGCAAAGTCATTGCCCGTCCTCCCAAAGATGTCACAAAAATGCTCAATTTGCAGTTTTATGGTCATTACTAACATGCATATATCATAGAGCATGGGTTTGAGAAGTAGGAAAGTAGTCTCTGGAAGACAGTGGTAGTTCCTAATATTTTAGATAATTGAGACTATAATGCAATAATAAAAAGCTGTTCTTAAAGTTCTGAAATGAATCAACTTTATATCAAGATTTTTTATTAAAACATGGAAGGATTTTCCCCTTCACCATTACATGAGTAGAAATTAATATATTTTTAGATTTGTCTTACAAAATATATTTTGTAATTCAAGTATTATATTTCAATAAAAGGCTACTGTCTGTTGAAGACATTTCAGAGCAGGTAGGTTTCTAATTAACCTAGTAAGGGAAGAAGAGGCACTCTCTGCTGATAATTTCCTATCATTCTGCATTTATAATTTAGCAGGCAAAACGATTAGGGAAAATATCCAAAAGATTACAACACCTCTATTCTAATGCAGCGCTCTCCTTACAGGATCTAATTGGTAGCATGCCATCCCAACTAAGACATCTAACCCTTTGTTGCCTAAGATATTCATGCTTAAAGCCATATAAATGATTAATACTTTAATAAAAACGAACCTTTCAAATCATTAGGGTAACAATTATTTCATAATCTCCCCAAACTCTCAAAAATAATCCTCTGGCCTTTACAATTTAACTTAAACTGTCTACAGATCTCTACCAGTATACCACTATTTTATGAAGCCAATAACATTTCTGAATTGGCAGTTATTTTTCTAGAAGCTTTTGTTACTGACACACTTTTGTCATTTTCCAGAATTTGTGTTTTATACTGAGTTTAATAAGTAATGACTTCCTCCTTAGGTCTTCTGAGCTCCCTGGCAAAGCACAGGCTAAAATCCAAAGAACTGCGTTACCTTTTCAACGATAATGCTAAAACCATTTTTCTCCTCAAATTCTTTCGAAACTATGAACCAAACACATATTGTATCCCAGAGAGAGACCAAGAGCAAATCATATTGCTGGATGAAAACAAGGCATTCCAAGATTAAACAAAGCCTTGTGCAGAAGGGAAACCACTTCCTAGGCAGTTTCTGACCCTGACGAATCACAAATGCCCCCAAAGGTTGAGTCGCCTATGACGTATTCCAGGAAATGTGACTCATAACTCTTGCAGTTTGAATTTATATTGTTCATGTCTCTTTATTTTGAAATTAAAAATTTTAAATAAAAAATTTCAAAATACACAAATGTATGTTTGTTGTAAAAATTTCATGTGCAGTATACAAAACAAAAAAGCCAAATTTCTTCTAACCATTCCCCCTCAACTCCAATTTCTTTCACAGAGGTTAACAGCAAAAAGAGCTCGGGAAAAACAGACAACTTTTCCAGATCTATTACGTGAAAATACAAATAGTTTTACAGCATGCTATGTATTGTTAAACATCCTGCTTGTCTTTTTAATATATCTTAGAGATTATTCCATATTGCTACATTACAGCATTTCCTTATTCTTTTTACAAATTGTATAATACTCTGTAGCATGGCTGTGCTGATTTATTTAACCAGTCCTCTCTTGATGGCTGGCTGCCAATGCTTGTCAATACTCTTTTGTGCACAACTTGTGCCCACATGCACAGATCTGTAGAAGAGAGGCCCACAGGTTGATGTCCCTGTACATGCCACATTTGCTTTTAAGCCCTCTCTGGGAATGTCTGCCTTTGTTTCAACTTCAATGTAATTAAATGCTGCCAGTATAATGTTTTTATAAACAATATATTTATCAGAACAGACATTAAAGCCAGTAAGATGAAAAACCTCACAGAGCTATACCTCTATACCTTAGAAGTCTTCACATTTGCATCTATGTCAGTGCCTGGCACATGGTTGACACTTGATAAATGTTTGTTGGATAAAGAAAAGTTAACTAGATATAAGAGATATGAAATGAAAGTGTTCATAACTTCAAGTGCCTAAAGTTGGAAATCAGGTGTTAAATTGGTTAGTGAATCCATATTTAATTTGATGGCAAGTTTTGTACCTTATATCTAGAAGCTAGGAAATATTTCATTAAGTTTCTTAGTTTGGGGGGAGTTGCAAGGTGCATGAAAATTCTTCTTATTACTGAAGTTGTCTCAAGGAACTCCATGAAATGAAGGGAGAAAGAAAATGTAAGAGTAAAGACCAAACGGTAATGGGAAAGATTAAAGCAGGAAGTTACAGGCACATCTGCATTCATCCAAGTTTTAAAAAATTACATTAAATGCCTTTTAATGTAAAATTATACCAAACACACCCCCACCCTTGGCCCATTCTCTGCAGATCACATCCTTGATGAGCAGCTGAGGAAGCAAAAGACCTTGGCTTCACTTGGGTGATTCCTCCAATTCCTCCAGGTAGCAGGGATTTGGCGATTCTGTTCCTGAAGGTCCAGAGGCAACACGGCCCAGTTAAGTACCACTGCATACAATGCAACAGTGGTTTCACAGTTCAGGAAACAAACAGGACAAAGTGGATGACTTTTTGGGTAAAAGGAATTCAGGAAGTATGAATGAATTTGTGAATCTGTTGAAAGAAAATGATGTCTTTGAATTTCCATAAGAATGTTGAAATTTCATTCTTAAATCTCCTAAGGAAGGACCAGGCTTAGTTAACAGTATAACTAACATTTATAATTATATATGAACACTCCTAAACTATCAGTGGACCTTTCAGTCAACAAATATTCATTGAGCACAGGAGAACCAGGCTCTGGGCTTGGCACTTGGGATCTAACTGAAGAGAAAAAGCTGTGACTGCCACGGAAGCTTACTTTTCCTAAGTGCCATGAACAAGCCACCAACTGTGGAGCTTCCCTCAGCACCCCTGTTTGTGATGCTGGCCTGGGCCCTCCTCCCTCTTTGGTCGATCAGTCCCCACTGATCAGTCTGGACCCAATTCCTTGTCCTACTTACTGCTTCGGGCTACCAAAAATGGTAGTAACAGTTCTGTACTAATTGGAAATGGCTAGAAATTGGTCTTTCAGACATTTTTTTTTTCTTGCCTTCTTCCAAAAAGGAAAGATTTATTATATTTCAACTTTTACATCACAGCTAGCCCCATGGGCATCCTCATGAATGAGACTTTCAGGAAGTGGGTGGGCAGAGAACTCTAAAGGACCCTTCACAGAGGCTTGGCCAAACACAGCCTTTACTGTGTTAAGCAGCTGGAGTTTAGGACCAGGAAAGAATCTCACCTTTTAATTAGCATCAAAACAAAACAAATAAAACAAAATAACAAACAGCAAAACAAAACAAAACAAAAACTCTGGGTGATAGCAAGTTTTGGCACAAGAGTATCCAATACATTTTTGGTCAGTATAGATCACACAATATCAAGCTCATGAATTTAAAAAAAAAAAAAAAAACCTCCCAAAGAGTCAAAGGAAAGTCCAGGAAAAGACAACAAAGATTCCTTTTTGGTTGGGTAGAGTATGCTAGTAAGTTTTTCCTTCTGCACAGAAAAGGATGGGTGAGATGGAAGCCATGCTAACCTTTCATAGAACATGCCTGATTTTTGTCAAAGGGCAACCTAAAACAGAATATTTAATTTTTTTTGAGGGAAGAAAAGTAAAATACTGAAAACATTTATTTTAACAAGTTTTTCTTATGGAAATTAACAAGTTGCTATTAATGTCACAGCTAAGAGCTAGGCATCATTGGCATCACTTTTGAGCTGATGTGCTTTTTAATTATGTTATAAAGTTGATCCACTTAAGACCAATGACTTCAGATATATCTGCCTAAACAAAGCTGACAAGGGGGTTATGTTGAATTACTTCACAGATATGAGAACCATCAGTTAGAAAGAGCACAGAGCCCAGTGTCTTTTCTCTCAAATAATAAGGACACAGGGAAACTTCAGATGATACTAAGTTGTGTGTTCATTATGACTTTACATAAGAGAACAGACATCAAAGAGATGAGGTTATTCTGTCCTTATTTAACATCAAATGCCTAAACTTACCTCAGGCCTTCCCTTGAAGTGTCTGTGCCCTAGGTTCCTTTGAATCCCGTTTTTGATGTTGCAGATGGAGGCTGTCTAGCTTCTGCATATCTTCTGTAAGACCATTTCTAAGATCCTCGTTGTTTCTTAGAAATTCTTTTACCACTTCCAATCGATTTGCAATCTGGAAGAATAAACCATACAATGTACAGCTCAGATCATTTTATAGCAGACTTGTAATTCAGATGAAAAACTTACTAGCTCCAAGACTGGCTCCTGCTCATGTGTCCACCAAGAGACAGGAATCTTAGCTACAGGCACCTGCTCACAAACAGGTTAAGGTTTAAAAAACAAAACCAAACAAACCCTTTAAAACAAAGCAGAGGGCAAGGGGAGGGAGGGAGCAATTGGGGGGATCGTTTTATGAACATTATAGATGTCTAACCAATGTACTGTACACTTGAAACTAATCTAAATAAATAAGTTTATTTAAAAAAAAAAGCATCCTCTACTCAAACAAAACAAGACTCAGGATAGGTGGTTCTGGGCCACACAAGAGGGTGCTTGCTTGCCTCCTCAAATTTTTTTGCTTTAAAGCCTCCTGCATTATTATGAAAGGGACACACACACACACACACGATCCTTGACTTTCAATGGGGTTACATCCCAATAAGCCCATCTTAAGCTGAAAATATCATAAGACAAAAATGTATTTAATACACCTAACCTACCAAACATCATAGCTTAGCCTAGCCTACCTCAAACACACTCAGAACACCTATATTAGCCTACAGTAAGGCAAAATCATCTCACTGTTGATGCCCAACATCACAAGAGAGAGTATGGTACTGCATATTGCTAGCTAGGGAAAAGATCAAAATTCAAAGTATGGTATTTACTGAATGTGTTATCTGTTTTGCGCCATCACAAAGTCGAAAAATCATAAGTAAAACCATCATAAGTCAGGGACCATGTGTATATGCATACACACATATACATATACACACACATAAATATATGTATATATAAAAGTAAAATGAAGCCCTTTCATTTTGAATTTTGCACCCATACATGTATTAACTATATACACATACATTTACATTCACATGGATATGGATACGTATATATGTGTATGGTTAGCCACATGGATGTATATGTATGTATCTGTGCATATATATTTAATAGTAAAACATGCACAGGTAAAAACTTCAAAATGAGCACAAGGATACAAGGTAAAATGTCAGTCTTCTTCCAAACCCTGTCCTCAGTCACCTAGCTCCTCCCCACAGAGATGACCACAATGAAATTTCTTGTGTTTCTTCCAGAGATATTCTACATATTTCCACATGAGCATGTGTATACACTGAATACACATTTTAAAAAACACAAATGGTAGCATACTAGACACTGTTCTTCAACTGATCTTTTTTACATCAGATTTTAAAGAGTGGCATCATAGTTTTTAATGGCTGAATAATATTTCAGTTATAGATGTTTCACATTTTAACATATTTCAAACCTTCTGTTAAGATCAATTATGCTACAGTAACTAACCTGGTACATGTGTCATTTTGTATAAGTGACAAGTCTATTTGTAGAATCTGTTTCTAGAAGGGAAATGCAGTTTTAATTCTGATAGAATTTTGTTTTAATTTATTAATAGAGTTTGCCAAAACTGCCAGCTATAGAGGCTGTACCAATTTAAACTCCCACCAGTAATGGAGTTCTTGACATTTAAACTAATAAAAGTACTCTCAGTACCATGGAAGTGTTTTCACTGGGCTTAACCCAGGATACTGTCACTGGTCACTGTGCTTATTAAAAAGATGAGAGTTACTCATATTTTTGGGTGTGGTGATTTTTCTTTTAATGTGGGACCCTCAACTCCAAGCTAAGTCAAGATGATCTGAATCTAATGAAGAAAAGTTATGGAGTACCCAACCCCTAACAGAGAGGAGGTTCTTAAACTTTAGAGAGTGTGTATGATTGATTCTGATGCAGTAGGTCTAGGGTGGAAACAGGCACTCAGGTGATTGTGATGTCAGCAAATGAAAAAGCCAGATGCTGGATGATGGCTGCCAAGGACGGAAGGGAGGGGGAAGACTAGCTGCGGCTTATGGCCACAATGAATAGGGAGCAGGGAGGGCCAGGGAGTATGTGTTCAGATAGGTTAGTAAGTAGATGGGGATGTGCCCTTCAGCTAGAGCTGTTTATTACACGGCTGGAAACAAGCCTACAGCTCCTGAAAGACACCTGAGCTTTAAATAATAAATAGGGAAACCATTACATGTGAAATGAAGATTATACTAATGACATTATTCACAGCATACATTAGTAACTGTGAGTACTGTACTATTAGAGCTTATTGCCTGTGCCTGGTGCTCTAGATGCACCCCAGGGTCCTTCCCGCAATTCCACCAGATGCCCATGACCGTACTGGCTGGGTCTTTGCACCACACACAAGATCCAGGATAGAGTGCAGTTCTCCCTCTCCTGTTTGGAGGCCTTCTCATTTGATGACTTGGGAGCTGTGTGTGATCCTTTGTGCTGTTACTTCCTGACCCTTTCTGCCCTTGAAATATGCTTAAGAGAGACAATTATTTTAGCTTGGTTGTGGGGTGGGAGAGAGGGGAGAAAAAGTCAAAAGCAGGGTTTTGTTTTGTTTTTTTAATAAGAATGGGGAAGGCTTATGCACGTTTATATGTAAAGAGGGAAGAGAAAGTAGAGATGGAAAAACAGAAAGTACTAGAAAAATTGAAGCCCTGCTTTGTCAATTAACTAGCTGTGTGACTTTGGCAAGACGCTTGACCTCTCAGAGCTTACTTCCATGTATGCAAAATAAAGGATGATGATACCAACCCCACCTAGGATTCTTGTGAGGATTAGAAAGAACCTAATAAAAACACATAGCATTGTGTCTGGTGCATTCCTTTCTTCCTACATATACTTAACAAATGTTTAGTGAGAGGCATCTACCATGTGCCAGGCACTTTATAGGTAAAATATACTTAGCACTTCATTCTTCTAGTCACTTAAGTCAAAACTCTTAGACTTAACCTTGATGCCTCTTCCTTTCACATGCCACATCTGCCCACTTTCTTACCACCTCTACACTTCCACCCTGGTCCAGATCACCATCTTCCTTACCTGGTAACTGCAGCACCCTCCTAACTGGTCTTCCTGCTTTTATCTTTAACTGCCCCTCCCCCCACCACCAGCATCCTCGCATAGCAGCCAGTGTGCTCCTTTTGTCATTCTGCTGCTGAGAACTCTGCCTCTGCTCCCATCTCAGGAGCAATAGCCTAGGTCCTTCCAATGGCTCACAAGGCCCAATAATAACCTGCCTTCTTTACCTTCACTCTCTCACCATCTCACCCACTATTCTTTCCCTCACTCCGCTCCAGTCACCCTAGCTCTACTTTTTGCTATTCTCTCTATCTGAATGCTCTTGCTTCAGATATACACATGGCTAATCCTTACCTCCTCCAAGGTGTTGCTAAGTCTCCCCTTTTCTATGAGGCCACCCTGACCACCCTATTGCAACCTGATACTTGTCACCACTCTGCCATTCCTGATCCTCCATACTCTGCTCTACACATCATTTACTTATTATGTTCACTGTTTACTGTCTGTCTTCCCCTACAGAGATCTTTGTTTCGTTCGCTGATGCACACCACGCTTCTAGAACTGTGCCTAGCACATCGTAGCCACTTGCTCAGTAAATATTTCTGCAATATAACAAAGTTTCATTTTGATCCTTTCCCTGACTTCCTCAAGTACATTCTGTCTCTGCCCCTTCTCTCCAAGCTTCCCCATGGATGTATATGAAGGTGTTTCCCTCACCAGGGTTTACAAAATCAGTAATGATTTTCAAGAATGTGAAATTTCTTTAGGAATTTTTTAGCCACTCACTGCAGTGAATGTTCTTTAGCTGAATTTTTAAACTCCCAGGTCCTAACACAGCATGGAGGGCCTACAGGAATATGTAAAGGGCTCTTGGGTGGCAGCTGAATTCTGCTGCAGCTGGACCCTTGGTGGATATACTCGACATGTGTCCTGAGGGGCCTGAGCAGCTGCTGCTCCCATGTGGCTCTCGAGCAGAACATACTTTACAATCACAGTTATACATGCATAGTATATTTTCATGGGAGCCCCTTTTTATAATGTTATATATTATAAGGCTTGTCAATCAAACAGAGAAGAATAAAGATGATGAGCTCTCTCTGCTATGCGCTCCTTGGTACTCCCACGCTCCGTGATGCATTTTCAGGAACCGTCACACTAAATTACCATTAAAATTAACCATTTTTTCCCTCAACTTGGCTTTCCAACCCTATCCCTACTATTTTAATGAACACCAGAAACAGCTCTTGTTAAACATTCACCAAGCAAGTCCTGTGGTTATAATCACTGTATTTCTTAATTCCAAAATGTACTTTTTTTCATATTTCAGTATCTCAAATGAGAATGCATCTTACCATTGATAGTATCTTACAATAAACTGGCAGCATTTTTTCTTCTTAGAAGTAATTGAATTAATGGCATCTTACAATTGATGGCATTTTAGAGTCACTGAAATTTTGTTTACTGAATCCTCTGACTTTCGAGACTAACCCTATAGAACACAGATAACCACATCTAGTACTGAACTTTCAAACATGCCAATCAATCCGAACTTACGTTTTGATCAACTGAAATATCAAGAGAAATGCCACAGTCTACTGAACAGAAAGCATGCAAAATGAGAACAACTCTATCTAGAGACTTGGGGACCCATAGGACAAGCCAATTAACCCCAATTTCCTATCTGTAAAACAGAGATAATGAGGGTTTGAAATTTACAGTTGCTAGCTCCTTGGTGATACAAGATGCAGCATGGCATGTGGAAAGGCACAGGGCAAGAGTGGGGACACCCCTAGGCAGCCCTCACACCCCAGATTTGTAGCCCTGCATCTGACAATGCCTGCTCCTTGGGGTCACTGCCTCAAGCAGGGGATATGATAAGATGATTACCAGGTTTCCTTGTAGCTCACAACGCACATAGATTCCTGGCTTGAGTGTGTTGCTGCTGATGCATTTTGCTTACACAAACAGGAAAGAACTGCAGGAAAGAACTGCAGTTCTCTTGAGAGAAGGGGAAACTACTGACAACTAGGGGCCGTGAGCCTGATCTCCTGGTTATCTTCTCTTGTTCGACTCTGCTTCTAAAAGCAGTAGCAAAAAGAGAACTGGGGCTGGCTCTAATGGCATTTTAAAACAAAGCAAGACGAAACACATGGATTTAGAAAACAGAAGATTTAACAGTCTTATTCATCATTTTAAACACCTATGGTGTGCCGGGGCAGGCGCATCCAAAAACTGGCAGTACCCAGTCCCTGCACTAAAGGAGCTCACTAAGCTGAATGAAGCATCTGTGTCGAGGTCAGAACAGCTAACATAGGCATATGGACCAGTAAGGAGCATGGCTTACTGAATGAAATACACACTTGTATTACATAAACACCCTCTCTGTGTTTAATGAGGTAACCAGCAAAACTACTTTCCTCGGACCAGGTGGAATAGAGAGGTAAAATGATTTGGCTAAGATCTCCTGGGGATCGAGAATTCTAATCCAGCAAGTGATGGAATATTTCGGAACCTTACTAGACTACAATTTTACTGTTTGTCATTATTTTTTTAAAATACCTTGCATATAACAAAGCGGATTCATATCTCCGGCACTCCTTATCAGGGCTTAAAACCATTAGCTTGCAGTGTCCCAATCTAGACACCTTGCTGATCCTTTACCCACCTCCTTCTCTACCTCCTTCCAATCCCATGCCATGCTCCAAGTAATCTAATCAGTTATTAAGAGCCATCAGCTCTGCCCAAACAGTGTCTCCAGAATCCGGCTCCTCCTCCACACTCTAGTTTCTGTCCTCTTTCTCTCACTCTCACACGACTGCAAGAGCCTCCTGGCTAGTCTCCAACCTCCAATTGTCATAAGATTTAACTTTCTAAAAGCCATATCTGCTCTATTTCATTTACTCTTTCTTACTTAAAAACATCTGTTGGCTCCCTACTGCTTTCTGGGAATAAGGTCCAAATCCCTTGGTACAGCACAGAAAACCGTTCAAAATATGGCTTCAATTTACCTGACCACCTCACATCTGACCATGCCTCTTATGCTCGCCTTGACAGTGCCCAGGTCTAAGCTATTTTTTCATGCCTTGGCAGGTGCTGCTCCTTCTGCCAAGAACACTCTTCTTCTCTTGCCAATTTGCCAAACTCAGATTTGATTCTGTTAGTCCCAGCTCAACAGCACTTTCCCAGCAAAACTTTTTTTTTGCAATCCCCCTTGACCTGGAGAATCTCCAAAGCCTTTATTCAGAATTCTGTGGCACACATTAGTGAAAATATTTGTTTAAAGGCAATATTAATCTGTGCCAAAAGAATATTCATTTCTGGAAATTATTTGACTTGTAAATCAGAAACATAACTGGCAATATGTTAAAATGAGTTCTCTTCCTCCCTGGCGCCTTTGTTTTGTTTAGTCACATAGAGTACAAAATACTTTTTTTTTTTACCTCTTCAGGCAACACCTCTTGTTCTGTTGCTTGAAGATATATCTCTTGAAGTTTTTCCTTTAGTAATTCCATTTCTATTTCATTTACTTGGCTCTGACTCAGGTAAACGCCTGCTTCATATTCACACCCATCTCGCTGATCTTCCTCAGGGATGTGAACAGCCCAGTCAGATGTCAACAGCTGTTGGATTACCAAACAAATATGTGAACCGACTGAATGGAAAAGATATTCCACTGAATTACTCAATGAATTTATAATTAAACATCACTGACTGGATCCATTTTAACAACATTCTGTGACCACAGAAAAGCTTCTCAGCCCAGCATAATTCTAGATTTCATATTGACATGTTTTTCTCCATTTACATTCTAAAATTTCATTTAAACCTAATAAACTTCAAATTTTAAATGAGCGACTGTGATTGCTTTTTCTCTTAGTTCTTCATGCCAGAAGTGTTCAACTTAATTTTTACCTCTTCTACTCTGGAGTACACTGTCACAATCTCTGGGATATTCTTGAATTCATTCAGAAAATTTTGGATCTTCCTCTGGAAATCTCGAAGCCACATAGAAGATACCTTCATCTCTGAAGAGTGCATGATCTCATTACGGCACTTAATCAACTAAAGAAGGACCAAAAAAAAAAAAAAAAAGAAAAAAAGCTTCAAAGTCAAACGGGGATAAACTGAGATACAAACAAACCTAAACTACCCTTAGCTCTTGAAATCCTGTGACTGGTTGGATATCTCTTACAAGCTCTCAAATCCCTTAACTAAAAATAACCTGCCAGAGAGCAAGAGTATTGGCTACCAGCTCTGGGTACACCCAAAGTCTGAAGCAGACAATGCAAAAATCTTTTAAATATCATCTGAGCCCCAAGAAGCTGGGCCAAGGGAGTTTTTGATGTGGAAACCATGATAAAAAGAAAACCAACTTCTGCCTATATTTTAAGACAAATGGTACTATCTAATCATATATTAATTCAGGTAAAGTCTTCCACATTTTCGTTAAGAGATATCAAAGGGATCAACTTTGTACTGTGATAGTTTTTGTCTGCTGATGTCACAGAGGATTCTCAATCCCTTTAGCTGCTGGGATGCTAGTAAAATATACATGTATTTTCTCTGCATATTATAAATAATCCATTCGAATATACTCTTTTCAATGACCCTCAGAATAATAAATGTGCCAGAGCTGTTCTCTGGAGAAAGAGAGAAAGTCTAAATATCCCAGAGGAAATATGACAAGCATAGCAATCTATTATGACCTTGTTTATCCACTAGTGTTTATTTTCTTCAGTTCTATATAACTTGGTCTTGCAACTGTTTAGCCAATGAGATTCAGAAGAGCAGGACTCAAATGCTGGCATACAACAGACAGAATGATGCATCACTGTGTGTGTGTGTGTGTGTGTATTTTAATACAGAAAATTACTTTGCTTTTGTTTATGGCAGAACAGGGAAGAGAAATTTGAGGTCTACCTAGTTTAGTGGCGAATGATATAATAGCAAGCTGTTAGGAAGCATCAATTAGGGAGAACTAAAGGGTCAGTCTCCTGACTGCTCTCACATAGGAGTTCTTGGACATCACAGAAGGTGCATGGGATGTAGCCCCACTAGCCTGCTTGAGCGATGCCAACTTTGAAGCAAACTCTAATACTGTTTGCACACCACTGTTTTGGGGAGAGACCACATGCTACATCTAGATGCTGCTTTAGCATCACAGGGTGTGTTTCTTGGCTGGTCTTCACAGTACTGACATGACTGACTCCCATTGTACAGATTGAAATCTGACAGCTCTTACCTCTGTGACTTTCTTTCGATCAACCAAAAAGTGATCGCAAGAGTTGATAAGGCTTAAAAGAGCAACTGCATCACATTCCTCAGGTCCTGTTTTGTCTGCCAGTCCTCGGGGCATGAAGGCCTGAAGGAGGGGAGGCATAAAGGGCACCTGAGTCTCCTCCAACCCGAGGAGCTGCTGGGGCCAATGTTACTTGCCTGCTTCCCAAAGGATGACTGAAATTCTCTTACTGAGGTTTCAAGTTAGAGCCTCATGAGTCCAAAACACAAGTCAGGGAACAGTGTGACAGCTAAGCCTTGGCCAAGGGCAATAACTAAAATGTTGCTCTATCTGTCCCTCTGCTCTCAGAGATACTTAAACACTTGACATAACTGGTTTTCTATCCTTTCTTACTGGCATATAAGCAGAAAGCATGGGTAGAAAGCACCTTTTATCTTTTACTTACTGAAGTGTCGGTGGCTGAGTTATTAAAGATTTAAAATTTAAAAATAAGTTACTCCAACGTAGACACTAAAATGGCTTAAGAAAGCTGAGAAAGTTCAGTATGATAGTATAAAGTTAAGAACCTGGGCTTTGGAGTGTGACAGGGCTGGATTCAAATCCCAGCTCTGCCACCTGCCAACTGTGTGACCTTGGGCAAATTACTTATCCTTAGATCACCTCGTCAGTAAACAGGGGTAACTATCTTCATCTACCTCAAAGGATGGGCAAGAATTAAATAAGTTAATGCAAGGAAAGCACTTGCCAGGTGCCGGGCACATGCTAATAAACAGGCCACAAATGTTGGCAATTATCACATTAATGGTGCAAGGTGAACAGAACCTCTACAGGAATTAAAGATGGAATCTCAGGGTTTGAGGCACTAGATATACTAGAAGGGCCTCGTTCTAGCATGATCTTGCCTTTTGTAAGATTTTCTGGCACAGATGTCAAAAATGGTGTTATAGCAAGGCTTGGACATATTTTTCTCTTGAAATAGTTCCAAATTTACATCTGAAGACTACAACTTTACCAAGCTAAGCTCAAGAGTACATTCCTACCAAGGGACTAGAAAAAATAACATGAAAAATTACAAACACATTTCAGTAGGCAAGCAACCACGATGCCTCCTACAATGCTGCTCAGAATGGCGTTTCATAAAAGGCTCGTGGTAGGTGCCGACAGACCCCGTGTTCCTGATAGTGGTGGAATCCTACACCTGAGCCTCACATAATTAAGGAGAATTTGGTATACAATACACTGAATGGCCCCTATCAAAAGGTATGGAGGCCAGTACTATCAGTCTTTCTATGTCTTAACAGCCACTGATATGGCAGCCCTCTGAAAGAAGCCTATTATGGATGCTACAAAGAAGTTAACTGACGTATGATAGGCAGACTAATTCCATGAAAAGAGAAAAAGAAAAAACTGCTTACTCCAGCTGTTGCTGACAGGAAAATCCAAAGTTAGAAGGGCCTTTGCCGCCTCAAAACCAAGCAAGGTTTTTCTTTTCCATTACAATGCATGTCCTGTCTGGCATCTTCTCACCAATATATACTTGTCTCTTGTCATTAAAGTTTTATTCTAGTAATTATTCCTTTTCTTCAGAACTAGAAGCTGACAGGAAGGCTCTGCTGTCTCCCTGCCACTGAAAACTGTTTCTTAAAATTGTGTCGCACACCACGTTCCATGTGTTAAATGCACAGTGGTGGGAAACACACCTTATTTCCCCTCACTACCCTCTGCTGTCTCTGTATTTAGTAGTAGGAGGTGAAGTTGCAGAAATAAACAGGGGGCCAGATCATGCTAGGCCTTACTGGCTCTGGAAGAGAGTTTGGAGTTTATTCTCAGAACATCGAGAAGCCATCCAGGTGTTTTAGGCAAGGGAAGGATCTAATTCTCACTTGAAGACCGCACACGCTGCTGTCTGGAGAGCTGACCAGAGCAGCAGAGGCAGCCACATGGGAGGCTACAGCAAGAAACCAGGCAGGAAAGGGCAAGAGTTGTGACACAGAGATGGAAAGGAGGATTCCAGAGATATTCTGCAGGTATAAAGAGGGTAGTGAGAGTTCAGAAAGAGATAAAGCAAGAATGTCTGTTAGGTAGATGGTGGTGGGGCACAGGCATAGGTTTGCAGGGCAGATGAAGGATCCTGCATGAGAAGTCAATACAAAGTGCCCAGGAGGTAATGAAGTAGAAGGGTCAAGTAAGCAGTGAGAGATAGGCATCTGGAGCACAGAAAAGAGGGCAAGGCTAGGGGTACAAATTTGTGAGCCATCAGCATAAGGGTAGTATTTAATATTTAACTCCGTGGACCTGGGTAATATAACCAGAGGAGAAGAGGGGGACAGAAGAGACCTGGGAAAGGCCAACACTCAGAAAGAGGCTGGGGAGGAGAAGCCAGGAAAGTAAGAGGAAACTCAGAGAGAATGATATCACAAAGCCAGGAGTGTTTCAAGAAGAGTGGCCAGTAGTGCCAAATTGGTGAGAGGTAAGAAAGACAAGGCTGGACAGCTAAATGTCATATGTGTCCCCTGGCAAGGCAGCTGCAGTGGAATGGCGGAGGGAGGAAGCCAGGGGAAAGGGGTTGAGGACTCACCAGGAATTGTGGAAAAGAGAATAGGTATAAAACCCTCCTTTTGAGAAGTTCTACTGGGTATGCATATGGGAGGCAGACAGAGAAATTGGGAGATAGCTGGGGGAATGGATCAGGGAAGTTTTTCTTTTTAAATTTTATTTTCCAAGTATTCATTCAAGTGTTTTTTTTTTTAAACAGCTTTATTGAGATATAATTAACATACCACACAATTCACCCATTTAAAGTGTACAGTTCTTTGTGACAACATAGATGGAGCTTGAGGGCATTATACTAAGTGAAATAAGACAGAGAAAGACAAATACCTTATGATCTCACTTATATGTGGAATCTAAAAAACAAAACAAAACACGGAGCTCACAAATACAAAAAACAGAATGACGGCTGCCAGAGGCAGGGGTGGGAAAAATGGATGAAGGGGGTCAAAAAGTACAAATATTCACTTATAAAATAATTAAGTCATGGAAATGTAATGTACAGCATGGTGACTGTAGTTAGTAATACTGTATTGCATATTTGAAAGTTGCTAAGAGAATAAATCTTAAAAGTCCTTGTCATAAGAAAAAAAACTGTAACTGTGGTGATGGATGTTAGCTAGAATTATTGTGATCATTTTGCAATATATACATTGAATCATTATGTTGTACCCCTGAAACTGTTATATATCAATTATACTTCAGTAAAATGTTTTAAGTGTACAGTTCAGTGGTTTTTAGTATATTCACAGAGTTGTGCAACCATCACCACAGTCGATTTTAGAACATTTTCATCACCCCAAAAAGAAACCCTCTACCCGTCAGCTATTACCCCCGTCTCTGTCCCAGACCCTGGCAACCACTAATCTTTTTGTCTCTATAGATTTGCCTGTTCTGGACATTTCATATAAATGAAATCATACAACACTTGACTGGCTTCTTTCACTTAGCATGTTTTCAAGGTTCATCCGATGTTGCAGCATTTATCAGTATTTCATGCCTTTTTATAGCTAAATAATATTCCATAGTATGAATGTGCCACATTTTGCTTATCCATTCATTAATTGATGGACATTTGTGTTGATTCCACCTTTTGGCTATTGTGAATAGTGCTATGAACATTCAGGCACAGGTTTTTGTGTAGATATATGTTTTCATTTCATTGGGTATATACTTAGTAGTAGAATTGCTAAGTCATATAATAACTCTGTTTAATCTTATCTTTCCTTTTTTAAAAAGATTAAATAAACCAAAGCAATATTAAAGCTATTTTTTACAGTAATGGGAATAAGCCAGTGGGGGAAAAGTTCCAACATACAAGTAGAGGGGTAGGGCGATTAGAGGAAAGATGCCCCTCCTTTGTAGCAGAAGAAGATGGTGCACATGGAGATATGTTGGTGGGTCTAATAAAGATGAAATGTGTCTGTGAGCATTCATCAACTCCAGGAAGCATCAGCAAGGTTAGCAGCTGGGATTAAGGGTGGAGGAACATTAGTGGGAGCTTGGCGAGGGATAGGCAGCAACAGTCATCTCCAGGAACAGAAGCCTATAAAGAGACATGGCCAGACTGGGGCTCGTGATCTAGAACTGAAAGTGACAAGACTTTCATTCTTTTTTATTGCTGAGTATTATTTCATTGTATGTATATGTGTGTATGTGTCTGTGTGCATGTGTATCCCATATCTTCTTTATCCATTCATCTATTGATGGACACCTAGGTTGCTTCCATACCTTGGCTATTACTAGTAATGCTGCAATGAACATAGGGGTGCACATATCTTTTCAAATTAGTGCTTCTGTTTTCTTCTTGCCATCTGCGACAACATGGATGGACCTAGAGGGTATTATGCTAAGTGAAAGAAGTCAGAGAAAGACAAATACTGTATGATTTCACTTATATGTGGAATCTAGAAAAGCAAAACAAACGAATAAATAAACAAAATAGAAACCAACCCATAGATATAGAGAACAAGCTGATGGTTGCCAAAGGGGTAGGGGTGGAGAGATGGGAGAAATAAATATGTTACTCATTAAAGAAAAAAAAAAAAAAAAACCTGAAAGTGAAACCAGTCAGCTCCCTTGTACAATCTTCCCCTGAGAAGAAGCAGATGGTGTCATCAGGGCTGGAGTTGGGCCAGGCAAGTTCAGAGAAAGGAGAAAAAAGGAGGATGGGGTTGGAGAAAAACTAAGAACACAAGGTTGGATTAAGTCTGCAGGTGACAGCAACAAAAAGTGGCAAAAACAGGTGGCCTGAGCTTCAAGAGGATTCTGAGGGTATGAAAGCAACAACAGATACCAAAACAGGTGGAGGACAGTCACAGTAAAGAGGAGAGTTTTAAGTCTTTTTCTTTTCTAGGTAAAAGTAGAAGTTGGCAATTCTATGATGGCTTGGGAAAAAAACAAAACAAAACAGGGAAGAAGGTGCAGGTATGGTGGGTTTACTGGTCCATGATAGCCAAAAAACTCAGGGCCACTGATATAGGTTAGAGAACAGAGGCTGGCCCAATGTCACACCACAGTAGATGAGCTGGGACTCCGATTTCTGCTTCCCAGGCACCAAGCTTGTGCCTGCTGCTAACTGGGCATGAAGACTGACTCCAAAAGCTAATTTGTGTTAGGAGGCCATTTTGACTGACCCTCTCCATCCCCTACTAGGCTTTGGGCAAACATCAAAACGGCAAAAATATTCCCAATTGGCCCAGCTAGTAAGTCCTACATTGCCAAAATCTGAAAACAGACCTAACAGTACCCTCCCATCCTCAGCTCACCAAAGTTTTATGCCTTAGATGGGCACTTAAAGTCCTTTATATTTTAGTCATAACTTCCCTTAACTTACTTGGCAATCGTCATGGTACACTAGAGTCAAAATGAGCTACTCTCATTTTGAGGGCGTTTATCCTTAAAAACACCTTTCATGTTTTTCTCTCTGTGCCTGTGCTCGTGATGTTCGCTCTACACCTTGCCCCAGAATCTCTTTTTGAAATCTTTACTACAGCTTTGCAAGCAAGCGTAGCAAACTCAAATGCCTTTAGGAAGCAGACAGGTAGAAGCAAGCTTCTACTTCACTAAATTGGGTTGGGTCCAACAGAACAGCCCTGAACCGCCTAGACACTAGACCCTAGATCAAATACCCAATCTCTCTCGATCTATTTACGAGGCCCTGGGCTCCAGGTGACTCCTACCTGGTGGGTGACGTCCTTCAACCCTACCAACCGCAGGTGCTTACCTTGGCCACCTCCCAAGCGTCCACCGGCCAGAGGCCGGGCCGGCAGTTTCCCCAGTAGACGTCTCCATTTCTGTTGGTGTGATGTTTCAAAATCTCCCGTTTCCATTCCGCGCACACCTGACACTGAGGCTGAAACTACACGGGGCGGCGGTGAGGAGGGTCCGAAAGGGAGGGGAGGGGTCTGGGCATCTGAGCCCCAGGCATTGCGGTCGGCCCCGCACCAGGGGGAGGGTATGGGACACTACCCTCGGGACGGGGACGCGGATGGGGTTGGGAGGCTGTGGTCAAGGCCCCGGGC